TAAGAGAATTGCCCCACGGCTCCCCTTGTATCGTCGCTACCCTCTCTGACCGAACACTGCCCTCTTGCTCCAACACCACACTCCAGCATCGTCTGAGTTTTTTTCCTACGTCGAGATTCTTACCTGTAACTTTCCTTCTTATATACAAGGCACTCTGTGACTCGTTTTCTCGTCCATCTATATGAGGGTTGGGGTATTCTATACGGTAGTGCAAAGCAAAACACATATTTATGGTGAATATTGTTGTGATTCACTAAATTTTCATATAGGGAATTATTTAAAAATAAGTCCTTACACGTTTAGACTGGTATAGCGCTCTTCTTGTCCAAACTAATCAGCACTTGACACGTTTTAAATATAAGCGTTAAGCAACAAACATAAACATAAAAGGTAAATACAGGCTTTATTTCTATAATACTATCAAGAATAATTTTCTGCAAAGAAAATCACCAACAACTTTTCACCTATTATGATATTTTCTTACAGGTGCTTAACAAAACGGATATCCCAAATGCAAGCGTAATTGAACGCAGCTTTGAGCAATATAATTAGCGCATAAAATTTTCATATTTTCATTAATTACATCAAACAATAAAGTAGGGTTTGCAACAAATTAAAATATAAAAAGTCGATTTTTTTAACAAGATTTATCTGATTAAAAAATATGTTGAAGCTTAAAACTCTGTTTATTTATAATATTATCACGGTATAAGATTTTGCATTGTGTGTTCTAAGTCATGAGGAGCTTGTTATCCATCGCCCTTTTGAAATTCTCCCCGCGCCTTCGCTCTCCATTTCGTGTCGCATATCTCCACGTCTAGGTTAATCTTCACTTACCTTGGCATATAAATAATATATGACCTTTTTGAGTAATTGTTTTGTTTGCAGACAATAAGTGGCCGAATTTTATTTCATTGAGCACATTATCTGCGCTGATACTTTGCTATTTAGCTGATCAGTAATATCTTCGTATTTTACATGCTTTTAGTAGTGTTCCTGTCTTGATATACCGAATGTTTAATTATTTCAGTTGCTAATCGCTCGAAATATCTTGTTTACGCAATTGCTTGCTGATGTGAATTTCCTGGTCCTGAAATGAGTTCGGCCGAGACCCACATTAATGCTGAGATAATGAGTAATTATCTTTGATATGTATTAAGTCATAGGTGATGGCGAGCTTGACAAGCTCAACTCCTTGCCTTCGAAATGCCTTGGAAGGGTTGGTTACGGCACTCTCGCTCCCGATGATTTGAGGTCAACTCTTAATAGTTGCGGAAATACCATCAGTGGTCTTAAGACGGGAAGTGTACTTCAACAGCTGTCGGATTTACTGAACAGAAATCTGAAACTAGATGCGTCATCAGAGTTTAAAGGTAATCAGAGGCTCTTACTATGTGCATGAAGCTGTTTTGCCCTTTGTTAAAACTAAAAATTTATTTCAGTCAACTCTCCCACAATTCCTATTAATGATTTAAGAGGAGATGAGGCATCTTCATATCCTCGAGAGGAGAGGTTGCTGAGGTGCAAACTGGCCGCATTATTCCGCTTAATCGACATACATGGATGGACTCATACGATATATAATCATATTTCGGTACATTCGTCCTTTATTTTCATGTCGATTCTGCAATCTTGATCCATTTAATCATTTTTATTCTTAGGCGCGTTCAACCACTGGCGTGAGCCACTTTCTCATTAACCCATTTGGTCTCCTGTATCATGAAATTCAAGCCTCAAGCCTCGTCAAAATTGATGAAACAGGTACACTTGGAATCTTATTTAATTTTTAGGCAGCAT